TTTTTGGGTAATCAGCTATCTCACTGCTATTTTACTGCAAAGATACTCATCAAGGGTTTCAAGAACAACGCAATTGCTCTTTTATAGCGGGTACTGCACACATACAGTCAAGTGCTTTAATTTCGTTCACGAATTGGAATAAATGAATTATTCATAGGATTTAATGCAACAAGCTTACTACACAGTTATACCTCGCAGTCCCACAGGAATATTCTATTACCAGAGGCAGACGGGGATGGAAGCGAATATGTAATTATGCACGATACGCCCTATTGATCAATATATTTCATTCAGCTCTTGGATGGAATCCTTTAAAAAAGAACTTACTATTCATGACATGCAGCTCATTTGAAAAACAAATGGAACAGGGGGGAAAAATGCTTCTGGAAAATCACGAAGAGGTCGCTGGAATTTGCCTTAACTTGTTGCGCTCTTGTCGCTGAAGGCATGAGAGGCTTAACACAGCAGGAACATGCAGCCTACCGTAAGCGGAGAAAAACATGGCAAAACGGCAAGGGCATTTACGGTTAAATAACAATGTTTCGTTTGCGCGAGAATACGAAACGAGATATTTTCCAATCTTAAGAAGAAAAAACGTGTTTTTATTTCTTCTCTCCGTTTAGGTGCCAGGGTCTTTTCGAGTGCTCAAAAACATTTGGTTAAAAACATAGGAATTACCGTCAAGAAAATGCCTTAAAGGAAAGACATCAGTATCACTCAAAATTGGCGTTTTTACCCAATTTTCTTATGCTGAATAATTTTGTTTCACAAAAGTTACAAGCCCCCTCCCCCTTAGTCTTACCACGAAATTTCTGTAATTAAATAAAATCGAACTGATGCTTTTCCGAAATCTTTCTGGTATATATATATATATATATATATATATATATATATATATATATATATATATATATATATACGTATAATTAGTTTTATTTTCATTCTGAACGTTGTATAATTGAATCACCATGAAGAGAAAGGGAAAAAAACAAATGACCGAGGAAGGGAACAAACAATTTTTTTTCTTATGTTGGAAAGTTGTTCTTCAAGGCAAGGCAATGTGCACTGTCAGGAAAGTAATCACGTCATAACGGTGTTTAGACTATTATAGTGAATTCACAAAGAAAAATTGTACAGGATAATATAACATGTGTGAGTATTATTTAATGTTTCCATCCTCCTGTAAAGTGGCAAAAAATAACGTGTTTCCTTCCTCATCCCGATTCCATTATTCACATAATTTAAATACATGAAAGGTGATATAATTTACAAAGACATTCTGTATCGGAAAAATTTGTCACTTGGACCCATCCCTGATCAAAAACTTGAAACACGTAAGAATTTTTAAGACATCACTTTACAATCTAATTCACGTAATGTGTTGCAAATGGAGAAGGGAAATAACTGGTACAGAGAGGAAAGTCTGCCCATATCTTATCTTAATACACTGAGCATTAGCAGAAAGCCACACTAATGAATAGAACACTAATAACAATCTATAATGAATGAAAAGAACATTGTGTTTCTCCTATGTTACACCAAAGCCAGCCATAATTTCTGAATTGTTTCTTCCACGAATGAAAATTATCTCTTTTGAGCTTGGAAAAACCTGCCCAGTATGCACTTTCCGGCCATGAGAGAGTTGCCTGCAGGTTTGTAGAAACCCAAGCACTTGGAAAAATTTAAGAAATCTATATTAACAAATTTTTGCTTAGCCCGACTAAGATGTTTTCCCGTCCTCCACTCTGCAATGAAGGTCTCAATTTTAAAATACTAAAAAGAAATTTAAAAAATATAGGTACATATGTTCACAAATTAGAAAGACATACAAATACTTTAGCCATAAATCTTTTCGATAATAGTGTAGAACATAGACGTATTAAAACATCCAAGCTTCTGGATATGCCTTACAGATTTGGAAGTGTTGGCATACGTGTATCAACTGTATTAATGCAGATAATGAGTATCTTCTCTAATAACTTAATTATGGAAGTCATTAAATTTTCTTATTGATCACATGCATTAATATATTGTAAATAAGTGCTTAAAATAGGTCTCAAATAATAAT